AAATAACCGGTGATATCATCCCCCCGTCCCTGGCGTCGCCACGAAAAAATTGTGCACGCCCAGCCGGGGAGCGCCCTCCTGTGGGCACCGGTTTGCCCGGTGCTGGACAATCTGGTACAGGATCTGGCACCCATCCTCTTTCCAGCCCCATCACTGGGTTTTGGTGGGGGATGATACGGGGGTGGGGGAGGCAGGCTAGGGATGCTTGACGGTGCCCACCTTGTCCTTTTTCCTCTTGCCAGGTGCTGGTGCCCACTCGCGTAGGACAAGTGTACGTCTACGACTCCCCCAAGGGCGAGCAGGATGAGTACGATTTCCCTCGTCACCTCCTCTCTGCGGGCTCCCAGGAGATCTACGATGTGCCGCCTGTCCGAGGGGGGGTCCCAAGCCAGTTCAGCCAGGAGGTGAGGCTAGGTGGGGGTGGGGGACCACAGGCTCCGTCCCACGGCACAGGAGATGCTCTGGCACAGCCTGGGATCCAAACCTGGGCAAATTACACCCAAAGCTGGGCACATTATGGTCCTCGAGGCTGCTTCTGGCACCTCCATCCTTCCCAGATGGTCCTTGGGAGGAGGTGGGTGCACATGCCATCCCTGACACAGAGGTGAGGCTAGGTGGGGGTGGGGGACCACAGGCTCCGTCCCACGGCACAGGAGATGCTCTGGCACAGCCTGGGATCCAAACCTGGGCAAATTACACCCAAAGCTGGGCACATTATGGTCCTCGAGGCTGCTTCTGGCACCTCCATCCTTCCCAGATGGTCCTTGGGAGGAGGTGGGTGCACATGCCATCCCTGACACACCGTCCTATTCCCCCCCCCCCCTCCAGGTCTATGACACCCCCCCCATGGCAGTGAAGGGTCCCAATGGGCAGGACCCAGGGCAGGAGATCTACGACGTGCCCCCCAGCGTGGAGAAGAACCTGCACCAAACTGTAAGTGCTGCTGGGAAGCTCCCAGCTTCTCCATATCAGAAAGACACATTTGACAGTGAGAACAATCGTTCGCTGAACAACCTCCCCAGGGATGCGGTGACATCCCGAGCGCTGGAGGCTTTCAAGGTGCGAGGAGACAGGGTGGTTGATGAGATTGGACCAGATGATCTTTTGAGGTCCCTTCCAACCTGGGCTCCACTAGGATTTTTGTGATTACTGCCCCAAAGGGGACATGGGAGGCCAGGGGTGCTGCGGCAGCCTCCCTGGGGGCAGGGGCACCCCTGGGGTGCATGACTCCATCCCGGGGCTCATGCAGCACCATCTTGCGTGCCTGGCGCTGGCACTTACATGCACCCCACAAGCCCACCTGCGCATCCACGCGTGACCCACGCTGGCTCTCCCAGCAGTGCTGATGGTGCCTGCCGCTGCCATTGCAGGTGTATGATGTCCCCCCATCGGTGAGCAAGGATGTGCCAGATGGCCCAGCGCGGGAGGAGACCTATGACGTGCCCCCCGCCTTTGCCAAGCAGAAAGCCTTCGACCCCTCTCGCCACCCCCTCATCCTGGCCCAGCAGGAGCCCTACTTGCCGGAGGATGTCTACGACGTGCCGCCAGCAGCTGGGAAGGGTGCCCCCGAGCCACCGCTCTCCCACGAGATCTATGATGTGCCCCCCAGCCTCAAAAAGCTGGGGGGGTCGGCCTTCCCCTCCCAGGAGGTCTATGATGTTCCCCGGGACCTGCATGCTCCGGGCAAGGGCTCCCTGGACACAGAGGGCGAGTATATCTACGACGTGCCACCGCAAGTGGACCGTGAGGTCAAGGGTGCTGATGCCAAACGCCTCTCGGCCTCCAGCACGGGCAGCACCCGCAGCAACATCTCCACATCCTCACTGGATGTGGTGCCCGTGAAGGAGCCGGCCAAGGGAGCCGGCAAGGAGTTCTCCTTGGACTTGGACGCCGCCATGGAGACACTGGCCAAGCTCCAGCATGGTGTTGGCGGCGCAGTCTCCTACCTCATGTCCTTCATTGGTGCCAACTGGCGCAGCCCTGAGCACATGGAGGCCAATGCTGCCAGCATCCGTGGGGCAGCTGAGGGCGTCCGGACAGCCCTCCGGGACCTGCTGGAGTTTGCCCGGGGGGCGGTGGGCAATGCTGCCCAGGCTTCCGACCGCTCCCTCTACACCAAGCTCAGCAAGCAGCTGCAGAAGATGGAGGACGTCTACCAAGCTCTGGCACGGCATGGCCAAGCGCTGGATGCTTGCCACTGGGCCCCGAGCGCCCTGGTCAGTGGCAAGCTGGGCACGGATGACTTGGAGCACTTCGTCATGCACTCGCGCGGTGTCCCCGATGACACCAAGCAGTTGGCCTCCTTCCTGCATGGTAATGCCTCCCTTCTCTTCAAACGGACAAAGCAGGCGGCGGAGAGTGGTGGCCATGGGCCCACTCACCCCTCTGACAAGGCTAGCAGCATCCAGTCGCGGCCCCTGCCCTCCCCACCCAAGCTGTTGGCCCAGGAGTCACCCGATGGGCCTTACGAGAACAGCGAGAGTGGCTGGATGGAGGATTATGACTACGTCCATCTCCAGGTGGGTGTGGGCAAGGGGGCTGCTCCCCATGGGTGCATTTTGTGCCGGTGGCTCCCCAGCACGGGGACACTGAACAGCTCTGACTGCAGTGGTACTTCTGTCAGCAATATCTTGCTTTTACCCTTCATCTTGAGGACTGTGGGGACCAGGAGTGTCCCAGGGCAGGCAGGGGCTTGCTCTCGGCAAGACTGGTGCTGCTGACCCCCATGTCATGCCTCTTCCTTCCCTGCAGGGCAAGGAGGAGTTTGAGAAGACCCAGAAGGAGCTGCTGGAGAAAGGCAACATCATCCGGCAGAGCAAGGACCAGCTGGAGCACCAGCAGGTAATGGAGCTGGGGTGTGTGGGTGCTGCTGGGCACAGCTTCTGGGGTGGGCAGCAGGGTTTTGGCTCCTGCTCCCCTTGTACCCCCCTGCTGCTGGTCTGGACCACAGTCCCCTGCTGTGTGGCTGCCCCTGTGGTGGGTTCTGGCTCGCCTCTGGTGCCAGTGCTGTGCTGGCAGAGAGGGGCATTGGCGCCTTGCAGAGAGGAGCCTGGCACAGCTGTCTTGGGGCTGACACTGTCCCTTGCTGTTTTCCCCGGGGCACAGCCATTACACGGGGCCAGTGGCCAAACCACCCCCTGC